GGCGATGTGCCTGACTGAACTGCTAGAAAAAGCCAGCCCGAGTTTCAAACTGCTAAAAAGCAGTTTCAAATGCAATTGAAACTCGGGCCCTGACTAAAAAAACTGCTAAAACACAGTTTCAAATGCAATTACAAACTGTAACCCTTACTGCACTGTTGTTTTCTCAAAAAAAAAAGTTGCCTACGACGTGTGCCTTCACCGCTCCGATTATCACAGATCCTTGAGCTCCAAGGGACCTCGTGAGGTCCCTTGCACTAGGGCACGAAATGGCTAGGCCACAACGACGCTACAAGGATTCCTCGAGGAAATGTTTTCACATTTGTTTTCCAATTTCTTCCCTGAGGATAGGTGGAACGATCACGTCCTTGTAGATTTTACGTGCCTTAGGAGTGTCTAACGAGCCCCGTGGTGGTTAAAGCACCGGTACTCGGCTACCTGGGCAGCGGGCTTGACACCTTGAATTGAATTCCGGAGGCGCGAAGCAAAAAAGCGACCGCCGATCCAATATACCAACGGCAGGCCCAGCGTTTGTTTGGCATTTCGGCCTTGTTTTCTTGTGGCAACAAGTTTTTGACTGCAAGGCTGGGGCCGTGTACTAGCAGTTTATTTTATTATTTTTTTTTTTATTAGATCCAGGGGCTACAATAGGAAAAGTGACAATAGCATCTCCTCCTACTAAGCCCTTACCAGTCACTTTATCTATTGGTGGGGAGCCTCATCTGCTGGAAACTGGGTCCATCTAGCGGTTTAAGATACGTGGCTCCTGAGGCTGAAGTCTCCCGTTCGAATCCCTGCTGCTCAAGCACGCAGGAGGTCTCAGGCCTGGACGTACGTACAGATCCATAGCTGCTTACCCTCCTGGTGTAAAACCTTCCTGACAGAGCAAAGTCCAAGTTGGGACTCCTCTTCACTGCAATGGCAGATAGAACACAGATGCTCACCAATCTATTGCGGGCTAATTACGAATGCCCCTAGCTCGGTTGGTACACCCAATGAACTGTTGAAATAAGGACGCAAGTTGGAATCCAGCTGCGATGGCATGATGACCAGAGTAAAATAATTATGAAATACCTGGGCCCGGGCAGCTCAAGGATTAGGCTGACACCCTTTTGATTAAAAAAAGAGAAAAAAGACTGGCTCATTTATCAATGCCATGCAAATCTAGAACAAAAGGGGAATGCCTTACCCTGTTGTAAAGCCTGGCTACCTTTTCTTTCCCCGGAATACAGCATACGGTCAGTATAGCTGCATTTGGGTTATCTTTCAGTCTAAATATAGCTATAATGACCGTATATAGAAGCATTTGGGTTATCTTTCAGTCTAAACACAGCTATAATGACCGCACGTTGCGTTGCATTGTGGGAACGAAGGTAGTCGGCAGTTGGATCTCCTTATATACATTATCATAATGATTTTTTTTTTATTTTTTTTTTTTAATTTTTTTTTTTGGGAAACGATGATGACCGTCACTCATCTCCGTCCCTTTTTTGTTTTTTTTTTCTTACAATAACTAGTCCAGTTCTCCTAATATTCTAAGGAAAACTAGGGCGATGGCACGACTTCAGTTTGAAAATGTGTTTCCGTCCAGATTTCGCAAACTTTTCCTTCAACCCGAGGAAAATCCTGACTGTATATAACCCAGCTTTAGGGTCTGCCTGAACTGGGGTTTGTCTTGTATTAGAGGGATGCCTCTGCCTCTGCACTGGGGAGGTCTTGTATTTGAGGGATGCCTGAACTGGATTTAAAACTGAAATGGTGACTGCGCCCTAGTTACACCAACATTCTCTCTGGTTATATAGGGGCTCGTTAGACACTCCTGGGGGACGCTATTCCGAGGATTTTGTCTTCGCTCCACCTGTCCTCGGAGATGAAATCGGAAATGAAAATGTGAAAACACTCTGAGGACAAAATGAAAATGTGAAAACACTCTGAGGACAAATCCTTGGGCTCCCAAGGATTTCCCAGCCAAATCGTCCTAGACAGAAGTTGGCACACTATTTATTATTATTATTTTTTTTTTATTATTATTTTTTTTTACACTGTTGTGTGAAAGCCTCAAGCACAACTGTTTTCCTTTTCCTTTTTCTTTTTTTCTTTTTTTTTCCAGGAGAAGCTCCAAGGATGAGTCTGACTATGGGCATAGCCACACCACTCTCGAAATGTGCAAAATGGGAATGAACTTTCCGCTAGAACATGGCCAGATGCACCCGCCACATTTTTTTCTTTTTCACATTTCGAGAGTGGTGTGGCGAGGCCCTATGGTGCCAAGAACGCCAAATGTTTCCCAAAGATTTCGTCCTTGAGCCGGAGGACGCTTTGAATTCGAAGAGTGTCTAACGAGCCCGGTAGCTGTATAGCTGTAGCGTGCACCGGGCTAGGTCCCACTTGCACGAATTAAAAGATACTGACCGTAGATAGCAAAGATCAACGGCCCAAATCTCCTAATTTGCGCAAGTGGGACCTTGCCCCCCCACAGGACTGACTGACGGTAAGGCAGGAAGACACACCATGCATTAACATAGCCAAGAGTCGAACCCATAATATCAACTTCAAAGTGGAATGGGATTTGGAAAAAAAAACAAAAAAAGTGGAATGGGTCATTAAAAAAAAAAAAAAGAGTGTGACAAGAAAAGATGAAAAGCAGAGGTGAAAAAAAAAAAAAAAAAAAAAAAAAAAAAAAAAAAAAAAAAAAAAAAAGGGTCCACGTGCCTAAGGTCAGCCCGAGTTTCAACTGAATTTGAAACTCGGGCCCTGACTAAACTCCTAAAACGCAGTTTGAAACGCAATTACAAACTGTTAACCCTGACTGTGCGGTAGTTTTCTCTTATTATTATTATTTCTTGTTTGAATAAGAGGGGAGGAGATAAGGAGGGGGAGAGTTGTTGGCGATGAGGAAGGGAATTATCATTGGTCTACGCTGGTGTAAATCTTCTTCTTCTCTTTCTTCTTGAAGTCTTCTTCTTCTTCTTCTTCTTCTTCTTCTTCTTCTTCTTCTTTGTTTATCCGTCTTTTTCTTCTTCTTTCTTTCTTCTTCTTCTTCTTCTTTCCCTCTCTCTCCTTTCAAGTTCATTCATTTCTTTTTGCAATTGGACGGCATTGTACTTTCTCATGAATGTGTACATCGAAATTGGCCAGGATCATAACACAGCCGTCTTTCTGATATAATTATATTATTATTATTGTTACTATTATTATTGGGGAACATTTGCGTTACACCCCTCAAAGATGAGATACATGCAAAAATCCCGCTAAAAGATGTGGTTAGAGCGGCATACCCTTCTGACAATTAAAAATCTTTGCAAAATACGCTTTGTCGACCATCTTTGCAGTATACCCCTGCTGGGTACCGGTCCCACTTTTCAAAATACCCCCCTACGTGCCAACTTCCACAGGGCCAAATTAGTTTTCAGTTTACCCCTACCGGCCTACATCACCTTTTCAGTACGCCCCCCCAGCAGTTGGGCCCAATCTCTCTCTCTCTCTCTCTCTCTCTCTCTCTCTCTCTCTCTCTCTCTCTCTCTCTCTCTCTC